ACTGTCCCCTGAAGACCCTCTGCATCATAAGGATGAGCTCGTCGTACGTGATCTCCTCGTTATGGATGGGTATCCGACGGATGTCTTCGCCGAACGACACTTTGATAATGAGTTTACCCGTGAGGTCGAGGTGTGAGAACTCGCCGTCGTTTACGGCCGTAAAACTGGCCGTCGAGTTGCTGGAGGCCATCGGCGGTGCCGGTGATAGTCGCGGGGGTTGTGAGCACTGGGAGGGAATGGTAGGCGTGTGTGTCCTGTCCAACAACTGGTGGACAGTTAGTGGACGAGTGGTTGCGGTGATTGTGTCAACCGATTGTCGGCTTTAATTCAATGGCTTTTTGAGCGCCGATTCACTGATGACTGCAAACAACGGCACAAAACAATAGGCTTTTAGTGATGAATGCCTTTAATGTGGGAATCAATTGAATAGCATTTCAGTCGATAATAGTTACCCGAAGTAGTGGTCAAACAAACGGTGATATGGATCGCGGGATCAGTCGATGAAAGTGAGAGTAAATGACAATCAATGGTATGTATGGGACAGACGTGTCACTCATGAGACCAATGGCTAAACAAAACTGTTTGCGTGGAGTTTATATGAGTTACTGTGTGTTGAATGCACGCCAATAGGTGGCGCCCAACTCACGCGTGAGTGAATCAGTCACGTGACAAACATGCCATCGACTGACTGACACTGAAATGAATTATAAATTGTGTTTAAATTGTGTTTAAATGGCATTGAATTGAATGAATGCATGCATTGAATGCACAGAACTGTCGGTCGAGTCATCAAAGTTTGCATTCAGAGGATATTTGCCATCAAAACGATGGAGACATCACCGAAACGGATCAAATTGGACGCCACAGCTATCGGTGAGCCAATGCCCTCCGCGAGCGGTGGTGTCGGTGATAATGAGGGCAATAAGTGGCGCTCACTATTGGACAGGCGTTTCGATGAGAAGGACGTCGGTATCAGTGAATTCATCGGCCATTTCAAGCCATTCACAGCTGTGCTGAAGAACCGGTACTTTGTTATGATAATTGACTCGCGAATGGGTGTCCACTCATATATGTTTGATCTGACATTCTTGTAGTTACGAAGACTTCTTAGTGCACGAGATCTCCCGCGATGGTCGAGTCGTACGGCTATTGGACACGAGTCGACCCGTAGAGGATGTGATACCAGTGCTGGACATTCATGAAGTGCTCGACGATAGCACTGTTGAACAGATCCGCCAATTGGCGAAACCATGCGATGA